AATACGGATGCTTTTAGGCTCCATCTCTGAGGAAGGAGAGAACACACATCGTGCTACCTTGCATAACAGAGCACCAGGGAGGGTGTTTGGCAAATCCCTTCTCTAATGAACAGCGAGGCAGCTGTTTCTTCTGCAGCTTAAAGTGCAGATGCTGATTGTCAGGAGAAGGGTTTTCTTTATCCACCACTGATTATCCGTGGCTGTATCTGGCTGACTGCTATTCCTCTAAAAATGCTGTTGAAAAGGGACTGGACACTTTAAAAAAAGAATCACTGCTGTGCCATAGGGGAGCTGTAGTCCTTTGTGGTTTCTGCTCTCTCTTTTATGATTATATACTACTGTTTCTGTTATCTCTATTAATTAATCTGTCTGCCGCAGCAAGTATTGCATGTTGAGTGATGTAGAGCAGACAGAAAACGTGACGTCCACAGTTTTTTGGCACAGGTTTGAACAAGTTCTGTCACCTCTGTGAGCTCTCTAGTGAGTTAAACCTTTGGCTCAAGTCCTTTTCTCGTGGCTACTTTGGGTCCACTTTCCATTTTAGCAGCCCTCAGCTCCAAGGTAGTTGAGTGGCAGAGTAGATTTTAGTATTCAGCTGGTTGTCTCAGTTCAGCTGGCTGACAGGTTCAGGACGCAGTACTGTGAGTTTATTGTTAATTGAATAAATTAGGAGCCTGTCAAACTGCTGTGCTTGAGCCTGTTTCCCTCATACAACTTGTGCTGGTGGAGTGCCTGGAGGTGGGACTGTGCTTTCCATGAGTGGGGCTTAATCCCCTCGCTCCAGGTTTTGTTGTGGTTCTTTTAGATATTATTTTATATATTTATATAAATTTTTCAAATTATTATGAGTGAAAACGCTGTGCAAGAAATATGTGAACATCGGAGTGGTGAGAGGTGGTGACACCAAAGATAACACACAGGATTAATCTGATCTAATGGCAGGAACAGGCAAATAAACACCAGGCTGCAGTAAGTCATGACCAAACTCTTGCAGTAGCACTGACGTGACTAAAGAATCTGTTAGAGGAGGCAAATGGAAACAGATGAGAGAAACTGGTGAGAGAAATTAGAAATGAAGAGTAATTCGGTTCTGAGTAGAGGAATAGCAACGGGGAAAATAGATCTTCAAGTCAGTGCTCTGCTCTTGAAGAGCTGAAAGGGATCAGAGGAGCTGTCTGGGGCAAGTCAAGTTCCAGGCAAGGTCACAGGAGTGAGGACACGAGGGAAACCCTGACAAGTTGTCTCAGCTCAGACCATTGCCCGTAGGAAACTCGGAGTCAGGGAGCACCGTGTGGGTAACACACAGTGCAACCCCAGCCCCAGACAAGAGGACTGCTGAGGATGGCCCTGCTCAAAGTCCAGCTTCCCTGAGGTTTGCCACAGGAATTTGCTTGGTGCAGAGCAAGCAGAGCCACAGGCTGGGATGCTCAGCGTGGGCATCCCCTGTCTGTGTGCAGGGTGGGCTCTGCCCGGGGCCAGGCTGCCCCAGCACCTCCCTGCTGGGCAGAGCAGGGCACCAGGGCTCCTCCAGAAGGACTCTGGGGCCACCACTGAGCCTGGCACTGCTGAGGCTGCTGGTGGTGAGCTGGTGTTTGGCTCTATTTACTCAAGGTTTCCTCTTGGAATCCCAGAGCTGCCTCCTGGAGCAGCCCTGAGGGCACAGGGTGAGTTGGTGGCCACGCAGCTGCTTTGGCACCCTGGCCACGCTGGCACGGGGCAGTGCCTCCCTTGCAGGGTGCTGGGCAAAGGCTCTGACCTGGTGCCTCAGCTCTCCAAATATAGGGATGTTTCCCCATGAACTGCTCTCTGCAAAGCCAAGGGCTGTTAAAAGAAGAAGGTCTCGTGACTGTGTGGTACTTGGATGCCATGGCAATGTAATTAGCTGCAGAGCAATCTTACTAAAAATGTCCTTGGTGGAGGAGAGGACGGGGTGGGAGAGGAGGGATGCTAAAGGGGAGGAAGTTTCCAGACCCGTGGCTTCAGCACAGCTTGGCTGCTTCAGCCAAGTCCTGCAGCTCAAATGTGAATCCAGAGGTTCAGAGCACAATGTTTATTTACTACAGCGTCCACGTGGGAGAGAGAGCAGCACAAACTCTTGGAGGTGTTAAGGGATTATATAACAGCTTCCCACCCCCAAGCTTTTCCAAGCCTTTGGAAAATTTTATGAAGTATCTTAGGCTAAAAACCTTTTTGAGCTGCTGGATAAGTTGAAGCAAACTTCAGAAGAGTATTCCCATTACTTTTCCCTCGTTCTCCTATTTTCTCTTCAATGTTATCTATGGATCCAGGAACTCCCGGGCTGCCTAATCCAAAGGAGGCAGGCACAGGGCTCTGCATGGAGCTGGGAAAGCCTCGGTGCAGCAAAGCTGTGCTGCTGATTCCTTTATCTCTCTTGCTCTGCCAAACCCTCAGAATTTGGCAACCTGGGTCTTTTTATATCCGTTAGGCCTTTTTTGTTGCCTCCCTCATGACCTCCGTGGCTGCATTTGCCAAAAGTTCCCCAAATTCGATATGAGGCTGTGTATCAGCATCCACAGGGCAGATGCTCTCAGGCTGCTGAGTACTGAAGAGCTCCAGAATACTGGAATTGTGTGAAGCATTTGGAGTTCAACTTGAGCTCTGGTGAGCTGGAAGTTGCTGTAGAGAGTCATTTCACCAAGTTTTGTTCTCAGCTGTGTCCTCTAGGGAGGAAGAAATCAGTTTCTATTGTTTATGGTTAATCCTATTGCGCATTTATATAAGCAATTATAGATTTTATTTTGGGGATAAATGAAGACTAGTAATAAAAAAGTAAAGTTTCACAGAGGTACATTTTAAAAATTAAGTGAGATAGTGCAGTGATGCAGTGGAGGGCGAGCTAGGATTTGGTGGCATTTTGGTGGATTTCTATATTCAGACATTATTCTCCTTTATTTGAATTTTCCTGCAGTTAGGACAAGGCACAGGCAGCCATGCTTTCCATCCTGGTGAATGGAACATAGCTCAAGGAGCTGAGCTGAGATTGGCTTCCCCTGCAAGAAAAATTTCTCTCTGTCACCCAAATGATAATTTTAAAGCATGAAAAACCTTCATCAGGACAGCAGCATTTTAACTCCTTACATTTTACAACCTGATCTTTGCAGAGCTAAAAAAAAAAGAAAAAAAAAAACCTGTTCCCTGAAGTTGTTCAGAGTTTGCTCTGGGTTGTACAAGTCTGTAAGGTCCCCTGGATTGCTGCACATCAGTGTGGTCCCAACAGGGTGTTCTCGAGGAGACGACCAGTGCTGTGATTTAATCCAAATCTGTTTAATCACATATAATCCACATAACTCAAATGTGCTCGCCCACGATCCAGTTTCAGAGCTGTACTGTAGGGAGGGAAATCTTGTGTTGTCACAAGTCCTGCTGACATCAGTGGGGTTTCTTATTGATGCAGGATTTAGTGCTGGCACATGCAATTACAGCAAAATTTGGGGTTTAGCATATTTGCAATTTATTGTGTTTTTAGGAAGCTCTTGCTTGGAGGTGAGTGAGTAAATGAACTCTGGGCCACATCCAGCAAAATCTCAGACTGAAGAGTTGTGCCAAGTGTCAGGAAAATCATATAATAATCTGATATAATCTGTGGTGTGATTAAAAAAAAACTGTAAAGGTTTGGTTTATATTTTTGTCTTATAAATGTCACTTGCTACAAATGAAAAAAGGACCTGTGCTTCCCTCAAGGCATTCTGTGTTGGGTCAGAAATGTTTCAACAACAAAACCCACAGGATTTGTCAGCATAAATAACACCCAGATGTTGTTGCAGTGTTGCTGGTTATGATTTTCATCTCCAAGATCCCAAAATCTACTCAGGTCCCATTACTGGGATGTGCACACAGCTCTGTGGCCTTGGAGCCCTGCATCCCAAACCTGCATCCCAAATCCTGTATCCAAAACCTGCATCCACACCCTGCATCCCAAACCTGCACCCCCAAATCTTCATCCTGCATTTTCTAACCTGCATTTCCTAACCTGCATCCCAAACCCTGCATCCCCAAATCTGCATCCCAAACCCTGCATCCCAAATCCTGTATCCAAAATCTGCATCCCAAACCTGCATTCCCAAACCCTGCATCCCCAGCCTGCATCCCAAACCCTGCATCCCCAAATCTGCATGCCAAATCCTGTATCCAAAATCTGCATCCAAACCCTGCATCCCAAACTGCATCCCAAATCCTGCATAAAAAAATCTGCAGCCAAACCCTGCATCCCAAACCTTCATCCCAAACCCTGCATCCCAAACCCTGCATCCCAAACCTGCATCCCAAACCTGCATCCCAAACCTTCATCCCAAACCCTGCATCCCAAACCTGCATCCCAAAATCTTTTCAGAGCCAGGGGAGCTGTTAACAGCTGAGCAATCCTGGTGAACCGAGCCCACACAACTGTGCAAAGTAATCCCTAAAAAAATGATGGAAAGGGCAAAAAGAAAACACCACACTTTCCAACCCACTGAGACCCCAGCCAGGCTTCAAGGTAAATACTGAAATAAATAAATAGTGCATGATCTGAGAGGCTGAA